CTCCACCAACTATTCAAGTTATCAACATAATCCACTACTATTATAATGCAAAGTTCACAACCATAGTTCACTAATTCAAACTTTAAACACCAAAGAGACTTCTAATCCAAATTTCTAACATCCATTTTGAACTCAATCTTCAATTTCAATTGAAAATGCATCATCATCATCATCATTGTGATCGGATGCCAACAAGTCTTCACTTGTCGTTTTTTTTAAAAAAAAATCAGAGCACAAAACGACGTCGTTTTTTAAAAAAAAAAAAAAAAAAAAATTGCACGTATCGTGCGTTTCGTACCGATACGTATCGTATCGTAAAAACGTATCGTGTATCGGACGATACAACGCAAAAACGATACATAACTACGATCCGTATCGTTTTAGGGCTGTATCGTAACGTATCGTACGATACGTATCGCGTATCGTACGATACTAACAACTTTGGAAACAACATATATTAAATTTAGAGTAGATTATTGAAACTCTAATTTTACATATTAATATTTGGCTAAATTTGTCCATGACTTAAGTTTCACTAGATACTACACAAAATGTTTAAATAGAGTTTATTTGTACAGTTGACGTTATTTCATAATTTTTATAGCAATAATATATTTGATACTAAAAATGATCCACGTGCAATACACTTATATACAAAAAAAATATGAATTTACATATCTATATCTATATCTATTTATACTACTAATAAAAGTACCTTAGCATAAAAAAATTTTGATTCATTATTTTATCCTTATAAAGAATTTTAAATACCACATTATCCTTCCACAATTAAATAACTAAATTACCATTATATCCTTGGTGTTTAAATCTCCAAATTACCCTTAACATCTCTTTTAATTATGTATTCTTTATTTATAATATCAATATCTACGAAACTTTTTAATTGACTATGTTACCTTTAAAAATAAGTATTGATTAGAATATTGACAATTATTATTATTATTTTATTCAATGAATTATAAGCTGAAACCTAATCAAAAGAATTCCAAAATGAATTATTTTTATATTTTTTTCTTGTAATTAAAACAATGAGTCGTTGGGAACAGACAAATTTTTTAAAATTCTATAGTATAATTAGAGTGATAAAAACATAAATTTTTACAAACTTGAGATAATATTTAATATAAATACACATATACCTAAAATTTTTTATTAAATTTTATGTACGAAAATTATTCACGTGCGTTGCACGTGGTGCATTGCTAGTCAATTTAAAAAACCGCTCCTTCCTTATTCTTAGTCTTGTACTACTCCACAACCTAATTCACAATTAAGGTCACAAATCTAAAAACTCACAATCCACATCATCATATGCTTTCTCAAAATCAATTTAAAAAATCGCTCATTGATGTAGAACGGAAGAAGAAGAAATAAGGTAATAGAAAGAAGTAGATGAGATACCAAACCCTCGCAAGGTTTAAGTCAAGTAACATACAAAATTCTCCACAGAGGAACACTTTTTATTATATTACTTTCTCTAATAAAAATAGTTGGGATTACACCATCATTTATAGGCCAAGTTCTCTCCCAAAATAAAAGCTATTCTTCTACTAAAATTCTAAAAGAGTTTCATAACCAACCTCTTAAACTCCTATACTAGTAAAACTCAATAATAATTTTCTAGTCAACCTTTAATTAATACTTTTTGTCAAACAGATATTTCCTAATTAATACAATATTACTAAAACAAATAATAAAATTCAAATCTTCAATTTAAGCTCATCCAATCCCTTTTCGATCTCTATCACTTATTCTTAGTCTTGTACTACTCCACAACCTAATTCGCAATTAAAGTCGCAATAAGAATTTGCCTCCCTTCAAAATAGTAGCTCTCTTAACCTCGTACCCAACACTTAGGCCAATATTTTATATAAATACACTACCAAGATAATTGGCAAAAAATCACTTACTCAAAGAATTTTCCTCTTTCGAGAATAAGACATATAAAAGAAGATTAATTGGCAGGCAACTGGCAGGACCTTCAAGTCAGAGCAAGATGACAAATAGTGTCTGATGCACCATTCAAACCAATTAAGGTCCAAATGAGTGAACAGTTTCTTACTCACAACTAGTGCAAATCTGACTCGAGGATACCACAAACAACCCCAGGAGTACTGTTCTCCAAATGAATGAACGATAATAAGGGAGAACTGGAAACCAACAAGATCATAACTCAAACATAAGAAGCAAGACTTCACTGTTTTGTTCTTGCAAATGTTCAAAGTCAATCGTTTGGCTACAATTTCACAAAATACTTGAAAGGCCCACAGTGACTCCTAGGTTTTCCAGGGTTGGAGGAGGCCACGGGGATCGTGCTTCATCTGTTGTTATTCTCGTTGAACAAACTCATGGGCCCAACTTGAGTTGGGATCTATCTCTGAAAGGTCAATAGAATAGCTTCGAGAAACTTTTTGGCTGCTTACTTATGTCGTGCCCACTTGTGTTTAAATGGACAAAGACTTGGTCATTCAACGTGAATCCAACCCATTCTATTGCTCTGTATAATAGGAAACATGCTCTAGCTGTGTTCAGCACCCGAATTGCGACATGTTTGTTATAACACTCATCTTGCAAACCTTTGCGGCTCAGGAACATGATCACAATAGAACTTCCACCATACGTCTGTACAAGACAATTACAAACAAAGCAACCTGGCATGTGGTCTGTGGCTCCAGAATTCCAAGGAGTACATAAGGATGACGTAGTAAACACACCAGTAGATATACATTTATGAGCAAAATTGAGAGAACTGGCATGATTAGAACCATAGTAAAGGAAACATCAAGATGAGCCATTAGACACCTAAGAGCTTGTGTCTTATCTTGGAAAAAGTAGAAATGGACTCACTAGACTGAGATGGAGTCTCTAAAGATTCAGTCACGTGTGCATGCGAGTGTAAATTACCAGCTCAGCCTCCACTTCGACCACAAGCATGCCCACGTGTAGGATGTCCAGTCAAATTCCAACAAAACTCCCTTGTATGCCTTGTCTTCCCATAATAATCACACTTTAAGGTGTTATTGGTAATAGTGCCACTCAATTCAGCAGACTTGGACCGGACTAAACACAAGTCCCGCTGCGAAATAATAGCTAGCGTAGACTGCTCTGGGACAGGTGCGTGAACCATAGCAATCTTCTTACTCTCATAATAATCACACTTTAAGGTGTTATTGGTAATAGTGCCACTCAATTCAGCAGACTTGGACGGGACTAAACACAAGTCCCGCTGCGGAATAATAGCTAGTGTAGACTGCTCTGGGACAGGTGCGTGAACCATAGCAATCCTCTTACTCTCATGCACATGAACATAAGCCTTTTGTAAGGTAGCGAATGGACTACGACCCAAAATTTAAACCCAAATCTAATCATACTCTGTGTTAAGGCAAGCGAGAAAGTCATACAAACATTCCTTCTTTACCATTTGTTAACTTTGCATAACATACTGCAAGAGACTTAGCCTTTTGGTTAGTCTCCTGTACTTTCTTCCGAACATTATATGCCTTAGCATTATTACTCCTCAAATAATGTGTGCCATAACTGTCCAAATTTTATGAGTTCTATCAAGCAACAAAAAATCACGACTGATAGAGTTGCATTGAATTGAGCAACCACGGCATCACCAAAGCATTTTTAGATGTCCACTGCTTTAGTGGAGAACCCGACTCGGTGGATTTCTTAGACTCTCCAGTCAAATATCCATATAAAAAGATGGTCTGGACTGATAACAAATACGCTCATGACCCTGCCAAATAATTGTGTCAATCTAATTTCTCAGGACTAATTTAGAGAGGGGTTATTTGAGAGAGCACCTAAACGACTCAACTTGAAATATCCAAACTAATGGGATCAACATGAAAAAAAAAAAAAAAAAGCAATCGCGGGAAAAACACAACAAAAAAATTATTTGTAACCAAAATAATGCCTCATCAGTCCCAAGGAGCTTCAACGGTGACTATTGAAGTAGAATAGTGTTGGCCAGAGCAAGAAAAAGGCCAACAATGGCCAAATATGCTGCTGGCAGATAAAAATGACAAAAAAAAACTGACAAATCCTCTCAAATCCACTCCAAATTGCAACAAAAACCCCTAGGCAACATAGATCTACCTTCGTTGAGCCTCACCAAGCAAAAACGAACCAGAAACAAGTCTTAGATCAGTCGAAAAACCTAGATCTGAGATCAAAGAGTATTATGCAATGTTGGCAGCCCCCAGATTGCCTAGAAATTGTCTCGAAATCAATCAAACTTCAACAAAATTACATGGGTTATAGATCCACCCTAGTCACACCTTATCTAGTGAGATCGAGCCAGAAAAAACAGGCGCAATGCCCAGAAATCCCAATTATGAGGTCTAAAGTTGAAAAACCAAAAAAAAATCAAAAATACAAAAACTCCTTCAGATAATTTCAAAAAAATTCAAGCAAATCACCATAAAAGTCAGCACATCGAGTTGATCAACCCAAGAAAAACTCTCAAAAATCTAACACTGTTCATGTTGATGTCAGCAAATTAGAAGAATGATGTCAGCATGTTGGAAAGATAATGTCAGCAATTCCGATTAGATCTGATAATTTCCAACAACTTTGAGACTTCAAATTTGGATCATTGCTCTGATACCTAGGTAGATTGTGGAGTAATTGGGTTTAGCAAAGAGAAGAAAAGATTAAGAAGAAGAGAGAAGGGATTAAGAGAATGGAGTATTTTGTTAGGGTTACACAGCTACATCCCAATATATATAAAACCACATATTACCAAAAATACCCCTAAGCTAGAAATATATAACATAACACACAGTCTAAAATGTTGAACATAAACTAAGAAATATAGCATCTTTTGTGCAGTAAAAAACTTTGCAATAGAATGCATTTAGGCAGGCAGTATGATGGACTATTAGGCATTAAATTTATAATACTATGCACAACATATATGGAAACTACATTCCAAAATTAATTAATAGGTGAAGAATGATGCAAAGAGCAACTCATACCAATATAGTTACAGCTTCCTTGACAACTCCTGCTATAGTCACTGTCACTGCACTAGTTACCGAGACAAGAATGTACTCCGTTAATACCTGTGACAAAAGGAAATAAAGTAAGTTCGTTGAGAGCTGTTAAAGTTACTATTTGTACCAGGTGTATAGACGCAGATTATGCATATACGCCTATAGGAAGCTGGAACCATTGTGGGTCAACCTCTCTCAATTGTTCACCTCTCCCCTCACTCTTGCTTCCTATCTTTTATACCAACATCAAGAACAAGAGGGAAAGCCACAGCAAGGGATTTGTGAGTCAAAAAGGATACGTTCTAGGTGAACTAAAAGAGAGTCAGTAGATCTATGGAAAAGGTTCAAGCTAAATCTTACCATAAAAAAGGCTAAAGTTCCACCAAAAAGCATAAGCAAGCAACTTCGCATGATATGCCATGAGCTATTAAAGTAGTTACTTTGTTTGAATTCATGCCACGGGTCCATAAGAAGGGAAAGTAGAGCAGTAGCCACAGCCATAACTGGAGTCACATAGCTCATCAAGGTAAGGGGATTCTTCAGACCTGAAAACAACCAAATTAGAAGTTTATTGAAGTCATGCCAAAAATTACTGATATATTAGATGTTGCAAGCAATGTGTAAACTTAAGCTACTAACCCGGATAGCACATTTTCATCCTGAAATTCTTGTTTAGTCAATGCCTCAAAGATCATTTAAACAAGGCCGTTTCATAAGCTTGATCATTTTAAAGCCTGGCTGGGTCATGGTTAAAAAGTTCACCTTAACCATGACTTGAGTGGATTGGTGTTTTCAGTTTTTATATTGGTTTCTAACGTATGCTTTCACATCAGCTCCAGCAATTCTGTTGCCTTCATGCTTATTATTCTTGTCTTGCACATTTTCAAAGGCTTCAAAATTGTTGCATTTGATATTATTGCAAGAGATGTTGAATGTCATGCTAGTGACTAGCAAAAATACTAGAAGTCAATGAAAAAAACGTAGAAATGTGTATGTATAAGAGAAAATACACATCGTGATAGGAAAATCTTTGTTGCCCTCACCATTGTTGTTCTTATCATTAATAAAGCTTCTCTCACGAAAAACATACTTAGAATGTTATTGTCTCTAATGTTGAAATTTATCTCATATATACACCATTAACCTTGACCTTTTAGATATCTCATATGCATCTCCAAATCAGGATATCGTTCAAGAGAAATTGTGATAAAAAAGGATAGTGCAAGCCAAAGAAACTAAACAGTTGAGAACTTAAATACAATGAATTATGCTTAGCCGTGATCCATCTGCTCCTTGTCAATAAAAATAGTTTAATTTTCCAGAGCAAAACATTTTTTCTCATATTTAATGTTTGATGAAATCTTTATTATGTACTCATAATAAAGGAAAGCCAATGGACGAAGAGAATTGTAGTTTCTGGTGATGGTCAATCCACATCAGGGTCTGCCCATGATGTTTCTAATCATGTTATATGTGGTAAGATTGAGATTCAACAGATTTCGCAACAGAACACATGCACACACTTGGGCATGGGTATATGTGGGTCTTATGCAATCAACAGCCAAGGATAGTACTCACCGTAGACTTCTTTCTTTATGTTGGAAGTGGTATCAGCACGCATCAATATAATGAAGTCCAACCGATCAAAGACAAAACAAACACACTTCTAAGTAAATTTAGAAGTAACTTCAAGGATCAAATAGTTCAAACATCAGAAATCCTGTTGATATGATGCCTATGACAAGCAAACACAAGTAATACCTGAAGAAGAATCTGAGTCATTGCCCAACGAAACCCAGACATAACAGCAGCAAGCATAACGAAAACAAACCCCCAAAACTCAAATTCTGTCTCCTTTGCAACTGAGATACAAATAGATATAGGATTGAAGACACAGAAATATTATAAATAGGACACACACACTCCAATCCAAATGCTTACAAGTGATAGAACATACTTAGTGGGAAAGTAAATCAAGATTGATGGCTGTGGATGTACTAGACTACCACATACATTTTTTGCAAGACTTCAAATCATAATTGCTTTGAAGTCATGTACATTACAAGGTACTTTCTTCTTTCTTTTTCTGTTTTCTTGGTTCATTGCTTCGTGCAAAATCAATATTAAAAAAGCTAACTGAAAACTGAAATGAATAAAAAAACATATGTAAAAAGAATGAGATATTAAGGGAGGATATCAAAATCAAGAATAATGAAAAATTAGTTTTGTAAAATATATAGTCATGAAAATTTCTTGGACCGGGTTGATTGATAATGCGCTGACTAAACACCATAGTACGATGAGACCCACAAGTTTCTCTTGTTTTCCTTAGGACTGAAAAAAACATAAAGCCACAAAAGCTCAATCATGTAATTATTCTGTGAAATAATGTTTTTGTTAGTATTAAGAGCTACAAATTTGGAGTTAATAGACATTCAACTTCAATATTGATTCTCAACTCCTTAAAATAATTTTCAACATGAAGTAATATTAATTTAAGTTTCTTTAAATCAATTTAATTCTAGGTTTATGAGGTATCAGAATTAGGTCATTTACACATAAACTTTCCCCTTTTTCTGTATTAAATGCATTTGAGAATGCACAATCAATAGTCATTTGAAATAAAATTCCCAAGTAATGTGTTTGAATCATAATCCACATAAACCTGACTCTTCACTAAATGTGGACTGCACATAGCAAATGCCAAAGAGGTAGTGCCAAATTCTAATCTAATTTACAAGTCTACCATTATATTATCCATTCCACCATTGAAGCCCTCAAAACTACCAATTCAGCAAAACTTTTTAAAAAGCTTAATTCTCAGTTTTACCAAAGAACCTTCTTTTTCTAGAGGTGGCAAAAAGAAGTGTGATGGTCTTCAGGTGGCTTTGTTCACCTGCACTACTTTTCAAACAATTGTATGGCAATTCATAAAAATAAAATAAGATCCAATCAATCAAAATATATGTCAATTTTTTAAGTAATCCCAAAAAACAATAAAGTGATATCATAAGGCACATTGGTGCACATATATCACAGTATCTTTCCTAACATGTCCACCATCGAATACAATCCAGATGTGGTAGATATAGTCCCTGTGTCTTACATTCCATGATTTACACTAATCCCTGTAGTAGTCAAAAAAAAAGTTTATTCTTACACAGGCATAAAGTCAGGCCATAATATGTCTTCAAGTACTGATCAATTAAATATCTCATCTTTAATCCATCACAAATGAGCAAACCATTCAGCATATGCATTGCAATGTCATATTATTGATGTAATTGCACAAAATGTTGAAGTTCAATAAGAATTACCCAAAATAAATCAAAAAGAACTCGTGCAAATGAGAAAGCGACAAACCTGTTAATAATATCCCAATAGAGATCACTAACATGATTCCCAAAAGCTTAATGCTTGGAGACTCCAGCCTTACACAAGAATTTTGAAATCAAAAACCAGAGAAGCTACTAAATTCAGAAGGGGAAAGGAAAGGCTACCTTCAGTACAAAACATATCGAAGGGGTGCATGATGTTTTGTGTATGTATCAAAAAAGGCATATGATAAAAGCCAAGTATACCAACCCTAGATTCGGGACATTCAGGAAAGGCATCATAAGAGAAATGCTATTGCCTAAAGTAGACCACTGTTTGTAGCAAATGCAAACAAACATTCGATGTGACAATTATATAATGTACATATCATTTTGTGCACAATAAAATATCTTCTAAGAGCATGTACAATGGAAGCTCAGACTACGATTATGATGCACCAATATATGAAGAACAAAGTGAAATTAGGGGATGAACAAAGTTATAAACCATTCGACTGAGACAAAACTATCAATTGCAATGGAGAAGTTTTGCATGACAAATAGTTCAAATAATATCCTTCTTCAACTGCCCTTAACAGCTTAAGTGTTTAGGACAAGTGTTTGTTCAATATAGTCCCAAATCTTGATTAAGGAGGTCTTGCTTCAATCATCTTCATTCACACTCATTCATGTCCATTTGGTATTTGCACTCTGAGGCTGCCTAACTCTCCATGTGTCAGAGGGGATCAAGCATGAAGGAGAGTGTGAGAGTGTGTTATACATTGTTTGCACCATCTTTAAAATTTTTGGGGCAAACAGAAGACCAACAGGGCTCATTAGGGTAAAAAGAAGATGGTGGAATCTTTATAAAGCATGGATGAGTGTGAGGCATCCATGTCGAATGGCTTATCTGAGGCTCTTTTCCAACATTACTGGGGTCTGGAATCGTATGTAAGTGATGCACTGTTCTCTTGAGATTTGGATAATTTACAAGGAATTTAGACATCGTCCATCTTGTGGGTTCTCAGGTTTGGAGCACTCAATAAAAAGGATTTCATTCTGGTCAATTTAGCGGATAAGATGTATAAGATGACGGCCAAACTGTTACTCTAAATGTTGATAAGGGGTTCTGACACACTATTTGGGTAACACAAAATGCTCTTTTGGGGGATAGACATGTTAAAAATGCCGTTCTCATGGGTAAAAGGATTCTACAACTATATCCGATGCATGAGGGATTATTTACAAACTGGTTTTCAAAAGGCATAGATCACGTAATATATGGGTTTTGATTCAACAAAAAAATTGCAAACTGGGGAGCTCGGACTTTTTATAATTAAGTTCAGGGTCACATTGAGTTTTAGTTCACGCTAGTTTAATGTTATTTTGCCGTTGAAATCAACTTTTCCATACAAGTTCAGGAATTAAAGGAAATTTCCAGATTTGCTACATAAACTGCTATAAGGAACTGTGGCCTTATTTTCGGTCAAATCATGTTATTAGGGTTCTTCACATGAAGCCTGCAATATTTTCAGACAATCCTAGTAGTTGTTACACTCTGGATGAGTTCAATGAAGAGCTTACTACTATAGATGCCTCCGCTTCCTGGGTGCGTGTTCTGTTGTGTAATATTGCCCATTTGAATGATATTTTTTAATATATCCCCTTTTATGTTTACTGACAACATCACACAGTTCAGTCCCCATTAATTAAGGGAGGGGTACATTAGGTATACACATAACCTTTAACATTATTTGCACAAAATGGTTGCCCTTAGGTTTGAACCGACAACCTCAAGGTTATGGGGCCAAATTTTAACCACTTAGCCAATGCCCCATGTTTCTGGATACTAGTAAACAAAAGATCCCCATTTATGCCGACTATTATCCAAAAATACAAACCCATCTAATGTTGACAGATTGTATTACCAGACCTTATGGTAGTATGCTATTCCGCTTCTAGAGCTACAAGAAATCTGAAAGTGATCTAAGAAATCATTATGCTATTTGCTCCTTGGCTAGTAGTTTCCAGCTTCCTTTCTATTAGGTGCTAATCTTATGGTATTTCATGTTCTCAAACACAAAAAATGGCTAAAAGCAAGTCAACAGAATCAGCTAATTACTAAAGAACAAGTGAAGAAAAATCACCTGAATGCAAAGGCGAACAGGAGGAGAAATATGGGAGACGCAGATTTACACTGCAAAAGTAAAGGGGAAAAAAGGAGGATCAACACTAAAGAAAAGCCTTCCTAGCTTAAGACAAAGGAATCTCATATTCCATTGGGAGTCGAGATAAAAAATAGAGCTGGAAAAAAATCATTCTTTTGAAAATTCAAGATATAAGCTAAAAAGAAAAGAATGACCAACCATAGTGGCAAATGTAACAGAGATGAAGACAAGGGATGCATTGCTCAAGTTAATATCCATTGCAGTTCCAAGAGCTGTTGGTACAACTGTGAAAGGCAAAGTCCATCTGTAGCATTAGTTGCTAGAGAAGTTAATAAAATCATCAGCACCGAGTCATGGTTAAATCCAACGAAGAAAATATAAAGTAGATGAAAATTTGGGCCACAAAGAGATGGTATAATGGGAGCAGAAACCCAGAAAAAGAAATAAAAACAGAAAGGCAAAAAATCAATCAAAGGCAGAGAATTAAATATTGAACAATAACCCTAATTTACAATTAAGATTTCTATATAAGTCTCTGTATGTAGTGTAAGATGCATGAAGTTCACAACATATTCCTTATTAACACTCATTCAATGACGCCTAGGGCAGTTAATCTTATATTCGCATCTATTTATTTTCAGAAGAGACATACAAATACTAGACACGCTAAATGAATCTACTAAACATTCTTTTTTGCCCACAAATCCATTATAGATTTGACTAACATTAAATAAATATTTAGAATCTTGCATGCACTGTAATGACCACCAGTTTCCTCAAAGGTTACAAAGATAGATACTGGGACGGCCAAAAAGTCTATTTACAAACAAGACAAAAGAAGGAAACCAATGTAAAATCTTCATACATTTCCGGCCAAAGAAATCTCATGAGCATTACGCAAGTGCACACAGAATTAAGTTACCTTTGAAAGTTGTGCCTAGTACATGAGACACATGTTGGGAGTGCCTGAGAACTGTCATGATGTAACACCCCAACTACGAATAAATAAACATTATAGTGGAATAAACATAAAGGATTAACTTATAATTTATCAAGCTATCAGAAGCATGTTTTGAGATTAAAGATCATTGTGGAATCTAGAGGATGAAAGTGTAATTATTGAATATGTTGCTCTGATGGCAAGCCATCATCTTCATGGCTTGCTTTAGTGTTTAGTGAGGTGTCAATCTATTAAGAAGGCTGCAATAACCTGGAGATAAAGGAATCAATAAAATAGATCTAAGAGGAATAAAGAAGATTAAAAAAAAAGAGAGGGACGGAGTCAAAAACTGTGCAGCGTGGTAGACCAGAGAGAGAGAGAGGCTGCAATAATCTGGACATAAAGGAAACAATTAAATAGATCTAAAAGGAATAAGCAAAAAGAAAGAGAGGGGCGGAGACAAAAATGAAGGGGTGTGGTAGACCAGAAAGAAGAGAGAGAGAGAGAGAGAGAGAGAAGATAACAGGAAAGGATGAAGTAAGAGGAGGAACTGGGAAAAGGGGAGAGGGGGGTGGCATGTACTGTCTATGGGAAAGAAGGAAAAAAAGGAAAGACATGGAATGGTATAGTATGGTGAAAATTCGGCATGGGACCAGGCGATTCACCAAAGAAAATTGTGAATTTTTGTTTATGTATGATGAATGATTTTAATTAGAGGGTATGGGAGTGGGGTGTGAAGATTGGTATCAGACCCTAGGTTTTTTGATTCTATAGACCATCATAGGGAAAACAAATTGTCTAGGATTACCACCTGCCCTATGGGTAGTATGAATTTAGTGGAGTCCGAATATACTGTATATACATAAATACATATCTATTTATAGTACTGGAAAATATATTTCATAGGTGTGTAGGTGTGTGTGGAGGTAATTGGATTAAGTGCTGTGTTGGTGTGTGTAAAGTAAGCCTATATATATATAGTGTGTGTGTGTGTCACAGGATTCTCACTAATAAGCATGATATAACCCACTAGAAACAATAGAAATGGCATGTGGAAAGGATATGTGTGAGTACTTTTGTTTAATGTTGTGCGCTGGATTTTGCATTAAGATTCTAAAAACGGGGATGATGATGTTACTTGGTGCTTCATGGCACAGGATGATATTGCGAAGGTATTTGTGCAAAACGGGTTATGTACAATATGGGACCATGTATTTGGCAAGAATGAATGTGGGGTGCATCGTAGGTGTATAGCAGTGACTCCGGGGCAAAATACCGAAAGCGAATACGTAGCCATGAATCCAGGCGAAATACCAAAAGTGAATACATAGCCTTGAGCCAGTATGGATATAGATGGAGTGTGCAAATGGCCTCATCTTTACTTTTTCCTTCAATTGGGTTGTGTGTGTGGTAATGGAACCATCCAATCAATCTTTTTGGAGATGAATAGTCCTCTGATTTTTTTTAGTGTTACTTTTCTATTATATTATTTTCCTATCTGTTACTTTCATATAATGTGGTTTTACTATTATATTCTATTTTCTTAATATTATAATTGTCTTCAAAATCAATCCAATGTAAAGAGGTGATAGGATGTTGGCAACACACATCCTACACACTGCATTGTTTCGTACTCTCTTTCTTCCTCTCTTCCTCTCTTTTTTCTTTTCCTTAGCCCTAACACCAACTTGGTATCAGAGCAATATTCTTGGGTCGATAAGGCTCGGCCCTAGACAAGCACCTCACTCACCTAGAGGTTGCGCCCGATGCTCCACACATNAACTGGGAAAAGGGGAGAGGGGGGTGGCATGTACTGTCTATGGGAAAGAAGGAAAAAAAGGAAAGACATGGAATGGTATAGTATGGTGAAAATTCGGCATGGGACCAGGCGATTCACCAAAGAAAATTGTGAATTTTTGTTTATGTATGATGAATGATTTTAATTAGAGGGTATGGGAGTGGGGTGTGAAGATTGGTATCAGACCCTAGGTTTTTTGATTCTATAGACCATCATAGGGAAAACAAATTGTCTAGGATTACCACCTGCCCTATGGGTAGTATGAATTTAGTGGAGTCCGAATATACTGTATATACATAAATACATATCTATTTATAGTACTGGAAAATATATTTCATAGGTGTGTAGGTGTGTGTGGAGGTAATTGGATTAAGTGCTGTGTTGGTGTGTGTAAAGTAAGCCTATATATATATAGTGTGTGTGTGTGTCACAGGATTCTCACTAATAAGCATGATATAACCCACTAGAAACAATAGAAATGGCATGTGGAAAGGATATGTGTGAGTACTTTTGTTTAATGTTGTGCGCTGGATTTTGCATTAAGATTCTAAAAACGGGGATGATGATGTTACTTGGTGCTTCATGGCACAGGATGATATTGCGAAGGTATTTGTGCAAAACGGGTTATGTACAATATGGGACCATGTATTTGGCAAGAATGAATGTGGGGTGCATCGTAGGTGTATAGCAGTGACTCCGGGGCAAAATACCGAAAGCGAATACGTAGCCATGAATCCAGGCGAAATACCAAAAGTGAATACATAGCCTTGAGCCAGTATGGATATAGATGGAGTGTGCAAATGGCCTCATCTTTACTTTTTCCTTCAATTGGGTTGTGTGTGTGGTAATGGAACCATCCAATCAATCTTTTTGGAGATGAATAGTCCTCTGATTTTTTTTAGTGTTACTTTTCTATTATATTATTTTCCTATCTGTTACTTTCATATAATGTGGTTTTACTATTATATTCTATTTTCTTAATATTATAATTGTCTTCAAAATCAATCCAATGTAAAGAGGTGATAGGATGTTGGCAACACACATCCTACACACTGCATTGTTTCGTACTCTCTTTCTTCCTCTCTTCCTCTCTTTTTTCTTTTCCTTAGCCCTAACACCAACTTGGTATCAGAGCAATATTCTTGGGTCGATAAGGCTCGGCCCTAGACAAGCACCTCACTCACCTAGAGGTTGCGCCCGATGCTCCACACATTAAGTTATAGTCATCTATTTTTTAGTTGTTGTAGTCAGTGGAATCACTCTTAAGTTGCAATTTTTCTATCGCCGATGTATTCGTCAAAGTGCTATTGGCTGTCGTGATCATTGTCATTTGTTGTGAGGTATTCGATGTCTGTTCACTGGTGCAGATTTTAGGGTTTTCAGTCCAGTGTAGTATCGATTCAGTGGTTTTCCGACCAACTTGCTGATGGTTTCGTGGTTTTCATCCTGATTTAATTCAGGTTTAGTGTTTTCAACCAAATCTAGTGTTGGTTTGGTGGTTTTCAGCACAATTTGGTACAGACTTAGTGGTCTTGTCCGGCTTTAATTTTGATTCAGTGTTTCAATCCAGTTTAGTGTCGGTTCAGTGGTTTTTGGCACAATTTGGTGTTGGCTTAATGGTCTTCATCTCGATTTACTTTCAGTCTAGTGTTTTCAACCTGATTTAGTGTCATTAAGGGTTTTTGGCACGGTTTGGTGTTATTTTATTGGTCTTTACCCCGATACAGTTCTGGCATAGTGTTTTCAGCTTGGTTCATTGCTAATTTTGGAGTTTCCATCCTGATTCAATACTGGTTTTGTGGTTTTTTATGGCTCATTGTGGTGTTATTGGTTGTGTTCGTTTGTGTCGACATTGTTGGTGGTGCTGTGTTGTTTTATTTGTCCGTTGTCGTCACTACTATATTCTTTTCCTTTGTGTTGTCGTGATTGTCGTTGGCTATTGCTTGTTTTGACAAGTTTTCAAAATTTTGGAAAAAAAAATCTCAAAACGTGCTCATATCCCTGATGTGTCCAACACGGACACTTTGATCAAAATAAAGTGTCTGTGCTTCCTAATTTGCAAGCTTATAGCACCACCAAGTTCCTCTTGCGGATGGTCCATTATCTCTTGATTCTCCAAGAACCTCAATAAGTACTTTTTTAATATATTCTACCATCGTATTATTACATTTGTTTTATCTTCTAAATTCCACAATAATATTAGTATTTTATGTTTAAACAAATCTATCTTTTCATCTTTCAAATTCCATCGTATAGCTCTTGAATTTTTAATCTTTTTCTTATGTCTTATATTTTTTAAGTAAATATATCTAGTAAAATTATCCTATGTGGTGTAGTTAAACTCTTGCCTGGAATGACTTTACGGTCTAGTTAGGAAAAAACTAATTTGACTTCTATTTAATCCACTTCTAAAAGTTCTTAGATGTTCATGTCTCTTTTTAACTTACGTATTTGCCATCATAGCTCATATGCTATATTAAAACCTAAGGCATCATTTTTATCTCCAAATCCATATTCACTATATACCCTTCTCATATCCAACAAATCGATTTTGTTGATTTATATGGTTTAGGGGTTTCTTCACCCATTACCAGTTGATTTGTGTTGAATACTTCTAACATAATACCAGAGATGGCTCTTGGATAGTTACTCGGCCAGATTTGCATTCCTCAATCAATTTGTCTGTCTATTGGTGTTCATTTTGTTAGCTCACGTGCAAGGCCGGCTCACTTATAATTTAGGCTCTGATGAGAGTTTGTATCTCAAAATTTGAAACTACTACAATCTGGGGCTAAGTTTACTAATCGCCGCATAGAGGACTTCAAAACAAACGTGTATGCACTTACATTTTGGAGTAAAGCTCAAAACAAAAAAGAAAACAAAAAACAAAAAAAAAAAGAAAATTAAGAAAACATAAGAATACCTCTCACAAAGTAATCCCTCCACGACATAGTTACACTGGGCTGAAATCTTTGAGACCAAAACCATGTGATTGCTTTGGATAAAACTGCTTGCATAGAAAAGTGGAATGTGTTCATCAACAAGGGAGCTGGAAACCTTCCCAAATCATCTCCCAACAGAGTTTTATTGTACCTACCCACACCAAAAACAAGATAAGAACTAAAATATTAAGGCAGCAATAGAGAGCAAAAGAACAAAGACAGTTAGCTATGTATGACCGCATAAATTAGAAACTTACAGTGTCAAGAATGTACTGAAAGTGTACCAAACAAGTATGAAAAACAACGTCTTAAGCACATCAACAGTAGAAATAGCACTCTTGATATTTGTTGTTGATGCTTCAGCACTATCCATAGCATTGGAGCCTTTGATTCCAACATTTGAAAAATAAACCTTCCTTCCAGGCCCATTTTCAATGTCAAAAGGCTCATATTTCTCCATTTCATTTCCCACATTATGAGTAGATACATCAACATCCATAATTTCGCCACCACTCATTTCTGTTTTTCTCTGCTGAGACTCACTGTATCGGTATCTCCCTCCGTCTAGAAATCCATTCTCGGGTCTAATTTCTTGATTCAAAGGCAATTCAAAATCAAAGTCTTCTACAGTTGTATCTGCATTTTCTAATTGATGGTCTGAATGGAGAATTCCATCTTCATCGCACCAGCCTGAGAATGAAGGCTCCCTCCGAAAACCCAACTTTTGATCTCCACTCTGAATATCACAAGTTCCCGAGCACTCAATGTTATCTATGCCCAAGTCACTATCTACCATCTCCTTGACTATTTATAATCCGCGCCATCTAAATCCCAAGTCACTGAAGTTTACCCAACTTCTGGTGGCTTCCCGTTACAATAAATCCCAAATTATTTGCATTATATTGCTTCGAAGCATCACTAGACTAGAACATTATATCCATCCAATTAATCTTGAAAACCCACTCCTAAACTCGTCCAAATGCGCCGCAATGTGCTGATTCAGATGCGTAAAATTTTGCCTTCCAATTTGAAAGAGGGAACACAAAGCCACTTTGTCTGACTCGTCAAGCCAAAATCAAATACAATCACTTTTCACAAGCTTCTTAATCAAAAGTTTCACCAAAACGACCTGAGCTCGTATAGATTGATATTCAAAATTAAATTTTAAAATAATTCATTATAAATTATAAAGCAAACTAAATGCTTTGTGCGACGAAAAAATAAATGAGCACTAGCATGAGAAAAAAATGGTGCACATATACACAATGACATATAATATAAATGAATATATAACAAAAAATAGACAAAATTACCTCAAAAAACATACCTCCAAAAATTTGAACACATATACACAATTACATATATTATGTAATTACCAATGACTTCTGGCATAAAGTAGTGAAAAAAAAATTATTTTTAATTAAAAGACATACCAAATAAAAGAGCATTTTTTCACATTGAGGAATGTAACTTTCATTACACCAGACTCCACTATTTCAACATTCAACCACATTTTCAACACCACTACTACCAACATATTACATGTATTTATGACCACATACGTGAATCTCAGATCAAAATAATTAGTGTAACAAACAAAATTTAATAATTGATATAAACCAATTGTTATCTTTAATAAAATTTCGACAGAGTTTCCATGAAAAAAATGATCCAATTGACCATATCAACATGTGTATACAACTCTTCATCAAGCCTTTATGTAAATAAAAACTACGTTGCATCAATAATCTCATCACATTACGTTAGTACCGCTATTTCTACTATTTACAACTATTGCAATATTATAACCCAAACATCTAATACCAAAATGAATAAGATACAAATATAAACTGAATTAACACTAAATGTAAGCTAATATGAACAACTAAGTAAAAATCAATGATATAGGCAAAATAGCAACATAGCAAGAAAAAAACATAAAAACTAGGTCCATATTCTAATTTTGTGATCTAAAGCACTCATTTTAAACTCAAACATAACTTGGGACCCAGAAGACCTAAGTTTCTAATGCACTAAAAGGCACCATAAAAATGTCTATTGGTCAATAGGCCCAACACAAAATAGTAATTGACAAGTAAGTATACCTTTAAAACAATATTCCAACCTCCAACCTCCAACCTCCAACCTCCAACCTCCAACCTCCAACCTCCAACCTCACAAAATTAAAGGAGATCTCATTTACTTCAAATGCCCAACTTTAAAAACTAATCAAAAACAACATAGAGTTTGAGCTTAATCTGAACAAAGGAAATTAAACAAAAAGGATGATAACCACAATAAATTAAAACCGAGATAATAGAACAAATATGACAAAAAGAAAGACAACATAAGAATAACCTCTATATGCATTGCATCCCCGCATGTAAACACATTCTGTCAAAAGAAGAAGTGTAATAAGCTCATCAAATTAACCCCCAAAATTAGTGAAACAATTTAATCAACACCACCAAACAATGTGATCTAAAATATCATTTACTGTAGCAAAACACATCCAAAGAGACTATAGTGTATCAAAAGATAGACTCAAAAATCCCACCAAAAAATCTAGGAGTCACAAAAAATCAGTCACGTGCCTAAACTTTCAGAGGTAAGAACAATTTGTTGAACTTACTCTCTTCCATGCACATTTAATCAAGAAAGAAAAAGAAACAATCATTAAAAGATAATTATAGCATGGACAATGTTAGTAGGAGGTTTACATACAATTGCAAACATAGTCTGAAATTAAATGTCAATAGTACAAAGAATCAAAAAGAAATTTCCAAAAAATTCAACCAAAATAGAGACATACACACAACATAGATCAACTTCAATTCCTAATTATCATGAACATTCAATATTGAATGTAACAAATACCGACCTCAATATACAACAGTTATGCATTGGACCAACCATTGCCAAAAAAACGACAATTATTTCTAACTACCTTTGAACACTCACCTCCCACAGAAGCTGGACGGCAAAAACCAAAAGTCATTCTTTATATCTTTTGAGATTTGACATAGCTTGTATTTTATTATAGAGACTAGTTATTACTCGTGGCTGAAGGCATTATATACCATAAAAAGTCGATAATTAGATTCAATAATCTACCCCTAAATCCACACAAATTTTTGGAATGAAATATCCAAGTTATTTGGTTGGCATCAATTTTCCTCAAAAACCAAGAGTATTGCATCATTTAAGCAGCTTGCTCCTATCCCATATTTTTTGCTGGAATTTTTTCAACATAGGTGAATGCTTTAAAATTTACACTTCTTAAATGGAGACCAAGTTTCAAACGTAATTTGTCGATGCAATCTTGGAAGATTGAGGAAAGAAAATGCATGGAGATTTGCTCCTCAATACAGCCAAAATGCATTAAACCACCTCCCCGGGTCGCCAAAAAAAAAACAGCGACCATCAAATCTTTTCCACAATAGATAAAGAGAGCATATGAGCAAATCATTCTGAGCATTCCATGTAATATTTATCAAAATCTATATATACTACTTATCCCTAATTATTAGTATAAAATTAATTCTACCCACATATTACTTTCATCTGGTTGTTATTTTTTATATCTATTTTATTTCTAAGTTCTTTTGAACTCTTTTATTAGTAATATTTGACTTCTAAATTCTTGTGGACGCATTTATTAGTGGTACACTAACAAATAATTTCTATATCTATATCTATTTTTATAAAAAAATAGATACATATTGGCAGATCGAATTTTAGTATCAAATACATGTCATATTTGATTTTTTTTTTGTATCTAACAATATCATAATAGTATAATACAAACCTAGGAAGCACAAAAAAAAAAAAGAGGGGTAGAAGACGTTACAGACCTGAGATCAGCCACAAATGTCATCTTCCTCTACTTATACGACTCGCCACAGACCTGAGATCAGACAAGGGTACTTTGGGATTCTTCTTCCTGATGCTTCTAGAGGCTTGATGCCATCAGATCTCTCATAGATCGGCTTGGTGTGATCGTCTCTCTCTCTCTCTGCGATTGGTGTGATCGACTTGCTCTAGATGCTCGCAGCATCGTTGTCTCTCTCTCTCTCTCTCAGTCTCTTCGTTATGGTGGGGTGGCGTCGGGTGGGGTGGCGTCGGGTGGGGTCCCCGAACAAATAGAGCCCACAGCCCATTACGTTTAGCTCCCCCAACTCACTGGTCATGACATTTAGTCGCACAGCCCATTACGTTTAGCTCCCAATTTCACTGGTCATAACATTTACCCCATTTAGTAAATTTGATATTAAAATACTAATTAATTCCACAATTTTATTATTAATGTTATTATATACAAACAAAAATTATATTATTTTAATTAGTCGTATCCTCGCAGTACCCATGTCCTATATTTTAAAATTTTGTTGTAATCCCGTGTCCATATCTGTACTTCCTAAATACAAACTATTTGATAAAAAATAGAATAATATATTTAGATATGCAAATACTCAAGAATGACAATCTTGCAATGACTCTTTAATTAGTAGCATTTGACTTCTAATTATTTATGAACTCATTTATTAGTAGTACATTTAGATACAATTTCTATATTTATTAATGAGCCCAAATTAAATTGGACCAGGCCCAATAGAAGTAAATCAAGAGGGGTCTAAATCATCAGTACCCAGAAGAGCACAAGCCTAATGCACCAAGAGAAGTTCAAGTGATCAACGCCCAAAGGAGGCCACCCGAAGGGGACCCCTCATCTCTTTTGTTCCATACTCCCTCTCCTTCACATTGCCACTCCAACTCAAGTTCAAGTTCAGGATCAAGTTCAACCTAGCTCAGGATTCTCTCCCTGATGGAATAGGAGCACGAGAAGAGAATATCGGGATACGCATTGCTACGGAGATCTTCTAATCCTACAATAATTGTACTTATCAAGATGGTAGAAACCCTCTCCTTTACGTCACCTCCTCACCACCTTGTTGAGCTTATATAATATAAGTTTTTTCAACAAGGAGAGGCATCTTGACAGACCTTTGATATCCCTACACACACTATACCTCCCTACATACATTATTTTCTCTCTTTCTCACCCTTTAAACACTGTAATACTCCTGGAGAATACTCTCTCCAACAACTTCATTCATCAATAAAGATTTCTGGCCATCGCTACCATTTTCAAGAGTAGAGTCGGTTACCCAGACCGAACCACTATAAATCTTTGTGTTGATTCCATATTTACTGTTTTACCATTGATTGTCTATTAATTACTCATTAACTACACCCGTTATATATTTTTGACTGTTGATTTTGCACAATACCAATTTGTGCATCATTAGTTTGGCGCTGTCTGTGGAAAATGTCTAGTTTTCTATTCTCTTTCAATCCATGACAATCACTACCAGATCGATGAGTCAACAGTCAGGAGATAACAACTCGGCCCACCGGGAGGAGGCTCTGCCTCTCCTCGTACCATTAAAACCATCTGTTACGGCGATCCCTGTTATCGGACAATAACTCTTCCAAACCATGCAGTTGCTGGTGAACCAAAATCAGTAGATTATCTAGCAGATACTCGCCCAAGGGGGCGTCACCCTTCACCTTGTAGGAGGAGTCCCACTCCTTCCAACGGGAGAGGAGCAACAACTTATCCCTTCTAGGTGCAAGATAACCCCCACCATAAGGGCCCTCGCCAGAATACTCCAGGGCCACGTCAGGGCGCCCCTCGTTTGACAATCTTTACTCAACGCGTAGGGAGCTTTTACGTACCCCCTTCACATGTACTTGCGTAGGAGAACGAAGACGGGGGAAACCAATATAGAGACC